TTTCAGGCAGAGCAGGAGTACTTTTGTGTGGCTGTGTGCTGTTTGCTCTGCCAGAGTACAGAGGAAGTCTGCGAGACTAGGGTTGCCCCTTCCCCCGCTCCAGGGTGACACCTTTCCCCCAGGTACTGCTGCCACCAAATCCAACACATTCTGCACATGTAGTTCTTGTTGGCCCATATGCATGTGTGCACGGAGCCCTCCCTGGGTGCTGGGACACAAGAGGGTACAGTCCTTGCCCTCACAGTACCTGTGCTGCGCTGGGGATGCACAGTCCTGAAAAAGGAGCGGCTCCCTGTTCTCTCCAACAGTGAAGCCTTGTGGCACTGCCTGTCTGCACGGTATTTCAGGCGAGAACCCCCAGGGAGAACAAAAATAACTGCAGAGGAGTTGGCCCTTGAGCAGGCCATCGAAGGCAGGGGCTAAGGAAAAGAAAAGGAGATTCTCTGCCAGGACGAGGAGCCCGGAGAGAAAAGCCATGAGAGTGGGAATTAGCTCTACAGGGACAGGAGGTGTCAGAGAGGATCAGCCTCCCTAACAGGACGGACGCACAGCGCTTGCTCTGCGAAGGGGCTGAGGTCTGGGGACACCTGTTCTGCTGCTTGTTTTTGCTCTGGTGCTGGACCTCTCCAGTACCTCTGCCTCCTCAGGAAGGGGATGGCGTCGTCACTGCGCTGGTCACTGTGTAGATGGGCATCCTGTGTGTGAGAGTTCTGTGGGTGCAAAACGACCTGTGGCCTTGTGTGGTGATGTTATCACAGGACAACTTTGACAGGGCAGTGATAAACAACAGCTAGGATGGCGGGGTTGAGAGTGGCAGAGGTGGAATCCAGGCAGGTGTGACACCCCAAGATTTTGCAGCCTCTTAAACTGTTAAATTGTTTAGTTTAAACTCTTAACCTTTAATTTTACTTTTAAACTCTTACACTGTTTAATTTGGTATTGGCACCAAATTTAAGCTTTCATTTCATTTTCCTGGCCAGCTAAATATGCAGAGAAATGTGGGGATAGGAAGTTAGGTGTCAGGCTGCTTTACTTTTCTGTTTTCGTGTCCACACTTGATCGCGGTTCCTTGTTGGGACAACTAAACAAAGGACACCACATGTTCCCGCTGCCGGGCACCTTTTGTATCCAGGTAGTAGGGTTGAGTTGAACTGGAGCCTTCCTCCTGTAAGTGTCCAGGATCAGGTCAGCAGGCCTGAGTTAAGAGTTCTAGATTTAAGGTTCTGCTGTTGGAAGTGGCACAGCAATTCTTTCTCCCACCCTGGAATCGAACAGCTGAGTCCAGACCACTCCAAGAGGAAAGTGGAGGCTTCGGTTAGCAACTGAGCCCCCAGTACCCCCAGCCACCCTCTCAAGCAGGTGTGAGCCTCAGTACTCCTGGGTCTCAGCAAAGCCAAATGCTGTCTGGAGCATCTGTGTGTTCAGCCCACCGCAGTCCCTTTCAGTCCCTGGTTCTGAAGACAGGGTGTCCCCTCTGTCTCCCATGGATAGAGGCTGAGTTGCAGATCAGGAGCTTTCTGGCCCCTCTTGTGTCCGGTAGTCTCAGTCCTGGCGGAAGCTGGAGAAATGTGGCTCCTGGCAGCTCCGTCCTCAGTGTGTGTGCAGAGTAGGCCTCCACTGGGGTGGGCTGGGGTGTGCTGCTGTTGGGATCCTTGTCCTGCTAGCTTCCCGACTTCTGGCCTTAGAGAGAAAATCCTGGGGTTGGTTCGTTTGTAGTTTGAGATAAAAATCTCCCCGTATGGTCCAGCTTCGCCTTGAATTCACTGTGTAGCCCATGCTGGCCTCAAACTTGCAGCCGTCCTCCTCCTTGGCCTCTGGAGTGCTCAGATTACAGGCATGTGCCACCACAGCTGCCTGAACTCTGGGATTTGAAGGCCCTCCATTTGTGGTAATTTGTTACAGCAGCCACAGAAACGTAACAGAGAGAATAAGGAAGGAATTGGAGATTCAGAGCCTGGCGAGCTGGAGACCCAAGGCCAAGTGCAAGTGCTACCTGCAGCACCTTGGGAACATAAGCTGGCATTGTCCATCAAGACTCCGGCAAGGCGGCCTCAGGGCCCTTGGTGCACAGCTAAACTCACTGGCCCAGGAAGAGAGAGGTTTGAGTGGCCCCATCTCATTTCCCAGGTCTGTCCCAGGCTTGACTCCCAGAGACTTGCTTGAAGATTTCATTAGAAATCAAAGAGGCGTTCTTTTTTTAACAAACACATTTGGCTGCAGCGACTGGTGTCCCTGCCTCCAGTAATGAGCTGGGTGACAAGAGTCCTTGAACAGAGACTGAATTTGAACTGATCAGTGGCATTTGGGGGTTGGAAAATTGCTCCAGAGCCGGCTAATTTATAATGTCATACGGGCTAGACTGGAAGACCCAAGAGGATAGGCTGTCTCTTGGCTTTTTATTTCATCTTTTTTAAGAAGGAAAAAGAAAACACAGTGCTACATTTGGCTGATGAGCATTCAGAGGTGGCCCTGCCCCCACCAGACCGTCAGAAGACTGGGTCTCGTCCTTCAGCCCAAGCCCCTTTCTTCCCAAAGCATTCAGTAGCCACCGCCACTCCTGTCTTTTGTCCTTTGTCACTCTGGTGCCCGCTTCCGCACTTGCTGGGTTCAGGCTCTAGCTAATTTGCAGAGGACACCTGTTCCGTAATTAGCCCCAGCCCTGGGTCTGCATCTTCATCTGGGCTCCCTCTGACGCATGAGCTCCCAGCCTGCGCGAGGCTGCTGTTTGGCCGTCTGTCTGCCGTCTGGGACGCCGTGGGGCCTTAGTGGAGTGGCGGTCTGTGCTCCTTGGTATGAAAGGAGCTGCCGACACTGTGGGTGTCACCGCTGTTGTTCAAATCTTCCAAAGGAGCCCTTCGCCCCTGGCCATCCCCTGGATGGGTCTGAGCACGCTAAGTGAGGCTGGACCCTTGTTCAGACTCCAGATTCCGGTTCCCTGTCTCTTGATCAGCACCTTTTAGAGGAGTGTGTGCCTGGCCTCTTACCCAGGAACGCCCTCAGCAGCCAGGACTCCCTCCCTGGGGCTTCTACACAGTGGGGTCTCCTTGTCCTGGGGTTTTGACAATTTGACAAGAGCACTGAGCTGGAGGAGGGTGGAGAGAGACCAGGCCTCTAACAAGCACCTCTGGAGGGCTGTACTTGATGGCTGCAGCTGCAGGAGTCTTTGCTGACCTTGGGGACAGTTCCGCTACTCCTGCCCTTCTTATGTCCTGGAACCCTCTAAAGACCAGCCATTACTGGGTTCCTCAGAGGGGATCTGACTCCTGCCAAAAGCATTAGGAAGAGCCCCCCCCAAGCTAGTTTTCAAATGGTCATGGGTCAAAGGTGAACCCCCCGGGCATAACAGGAGTCCAGTTTCCAGCAGGCCGCAGTTGTCTGAAAGAGTTGTGGTGAGTGACTTTGTATTTATCCTTCCACCTGACATCCACTTCTCCACCCTTCAGAAAAGAAATTCATCAGTGGAAAGTTCCCCTGAAGTGGTAATTTTCCTAAATGACTTACCGATGGTGCTGCATACAGACGGGCTGGGCCAGAGGTGGTGGTAGTTACTGCGAGCCTGTTAGTTACTGCGTCCCGGCTCTGCTCCCTGGGCCTGCAAGACCAGAGAGCGACCCCTGCTCTGCCTTTGCCTGTCACCCCAGCCTAAAGGAAACTCTTCTTCTTCCCCCTCTACTGAATGGAGGGGGTCTGGTTCCCAGGACCCCAGCAGAAAGCCTTCTCCAGAAATCTCCCGGCCCTGGTAGTCCCCAGGGCACCTTCACCCACCCCAGCTAATTAGAGCCTTTTCCTTAAGCGGCACTTGAGTCCTTCTGTCATTCCTCTCACAGTGATAATGGACTTGGATAAGAGGTCACAGCCTCTCCCACATCCTGCTCTCCTTGTGCTGGGGGCAGAGCGGGCTCACCCCCTTCTGCGGAGCCCAGCCTCCGCCGCCTGCCATCCTGCCTGTCACGGGACTGGCCCAGGGCTGGGCAACTGTGATGAATTCACCCCAAGCACAAGGCCAGAGCTGGTCTCCCCACCTTCAGGCTTTCTGTGCCTCCTGCCGCATCTCTGTGAGTGTCATTAGCATTAACGTGATAAAATGGCACAGTGTAAATGTTAATAAGGTCTGATGCCTCGTCTGCTTCTGAGCAGCAGATTGGAAATGGTACCATCGTCTTAACTCCAGCAAGCAGCTTTTAATTCCTCTGCTCCCTGAGCAACCAATTTGGCATGAAAAGCCTGCCCCCCACTCCTCTCCCCATTGCCTGTACCATATTCACCCTGATTTCTTCTGCACAAATGGTCCACAGTTCGCACAGACCAATTTTCCAAGACAGTTTTTGCTGCCATTTTTTTTTTAAGTAAACACTTCCCTGTTCTTTCCAGAGCAGCGAACTGAGGAGGACCAGGGTGCAGGCGTCCTTCTCCCTGCCTGACTCCCTGCCCCTCACCCAGGCCTCATCACTTCCAGTCTTTCTAGGTGTAGCGCTTTTCCTCTTAATCCAGGACGTGAGTCTCAGTGAGTCACCCCGGAAGCCCCTGGCTCTTGTTCTCTAGGCTTTCCCCTTGCATTTAAGCTGAAAATGTGGCTGATGAATGGCACCCTGATGAATGCTTCTCTCTGAGCCCTTCAGAAGGGGCACCCTCTCTCCACTGTCTTGCCAGAGCCCCGTGTGCCCTCCCCACCGTGTCCTTTCCTCCCAGTGGTGGTGAGGGCATGGCTGGTGTTATTTTTGGCTCCTCATCTTGTTGCCATTTTGTACCTGATCTGTACTCACAGCCAGTGCTGTGCTAGACCCAAAGGTCCTCTACCAGCACCCGCCAGAGAGCAGAGGGGATGGCGTCCCTCGCCTGATGCCTGGACCTTGCCCAGGAAGTGCAGTAGCATCCGGTCTGCAAGCGTGAACCGTGTCAGAGAGGCAGGGCTCTGGACCTCTGGCCAGGGGCGCGCTGGGGTTAGGGTTAGGGTGGGCAGCCGCCCCTGTGTTCTCTCACCACTGTGTTCCGCCCCCCAGGCTGTCTTCACGCTCCTCCTGGGACCGTTCACCTTCTTTGACGTCCAGAAGACCAAGTACCTGCAGATCCTGACCTCTTTGATGAGATGGATCGGTGAGTCTGAGAAATGTCTCTGTCCTCATCCTTCTGCCCTCGTCCTTTCCTCCACCTCCTCCGAGAGGCCGAGCAAGCTCCCAGTGAGGCTGACTGGGTATTGTTACCTTGGCCTGCCTGGGTCTCCAACCTTTCCAGAGGCAGGGACTGAGGCAAGGTCCCCTGCCTGCCCTTTGCTGGTGAGGAAGCTTAGCACCAAAGTGGCTTTGTCAAGGCCATGTTGCATAGAGGGAGCCGGGCTAGAATCTGTGGCCAGACTCCTTCATACACCCCACTAGGTCCCCACCAACCCACAGGGTGGCCCGGGTCGGGCGTGCACCCTGCAGGACACAGGAACAAGAGCGCTCTGCCTTCTTGTGGGCACATCATGCGGTGCAGCTGTGAAACCCAGTGGGCCGTGGCAACAGCCACTCACTGCCTCCCATCTGCAGCAGGTTCCCACTGACCAGTGCACACTGAGCAACAGCACCATCATCCTCGGCTGCAGTCCAGGTCTCTTCCCCTGAACTAGGTTGGTCGTAGGGAGCTGGTTCACTTCTAGCACTCCATCTCTCCAGCCACTTGAGGGAAGGAGCCAGCTGCTCAAGCGACTGGCCCGAGGAGGAGAGGGTGTGGGGTTCGTGCTTCTCCATCGCCCGGTGTACACACTGGGCATCTGTTGGACACTTACTTTATTATACCTAGAAGCAAAGAAGGCCAACTGGGTGTATATCTGTAGTCACAGCACTCAGACAGGAGGATTGCTTGAGCTTGAGTGTTCAGGGCCAGCCAGGGCGACATGGGGAGACCCCATGTCAAAAAAAAAAAAAAAAAAACCCGGGGAGG